CCAGGACTTTCTCTCAAGGTACCTTTAGGTAGACTTGAACTTCCTACCTTACAATTAGTAGCAGAGCGTGTTAACTGCTTGCCCCACCCAGGGACTCTGGTTTTACAGTACTAGGGTGAATATATTAGAATCTCCCTAGCAATTCCTCATAATACTATATTGGCAATAAAACTGATTCTTCAAAAGAATATGTCTCTGTTCTATAAAGTAAATTTGTTACAGGCAACCTACTAAGCAGATCATTTTATGAGCTTGTATTTATGATTTGTTGTTGTTGTTATGTGACGTGGAGTTGGTTCCGACCCATAGCGACCCTGTACAGGGTTTCCGAGGCTGTAAATCTTTACGGAAGCAGAAAGCCTTATCTTTCTCCCACGGAACAGCTGGTAGTTTTGAACTGCTGACCTTGCGGCTCACAGCCCAATTCGTAACCACTACACTATTACTATTTCTTTTTCCCAAGGTACCATATTTGACTTGTTGTCTGATGTATCCTGAAAATCAGTAGAGGGAAGTATAAATTTCATTTTTGCATGTCTCATAAAGCATGGAATAGAATATTTGCGGCTCAGTCATAATATTGAACATGTCAACTTTCAATAGCTTTCCTTAAAGAAGCACTCAGATATGCTTCCTTTTTTCTGTACACTTTTTTAAAGAAATGGTCTACTTGAAATTCCATAAACGATACTTAGGGAGTCATAACCAACTTTCCCTTTTTTGTGATGGGAATAAAATTACTCAAAATTACAATTCTTAATTTGTTTTCCAATTTAAAAACAAATTAGCACTCAAAGGAAGATGAGAACATCAGTGTGAAAACATCAGTATAAGAACATTAGAGCTTTATTTATTAACAGGATAATTTGGTAGAAACAATATCCTTATGGGAATCAGGAGATTTTAGGTTCTTTTTTTAAAAAAACAAATAAATAGACTCAGTAACCTTTATCACTATACTTCAATTTTTTTCTCATCTCTAAATTAGTGTATTATAATCAGTATAATTTATATAATCAATATAAATGCAATCCTTTTAATAACAAGATCCTGAACTCTTCAAAAGCTTCTTGTTGTTAAATGCCATCGAGTCACTTCCGACTTATATTGACCCTGTATGGGCTTTCCAAGGAGCGGCTGATGTGTTTGACCTGCTGACCTTGAAGTTCAAACTGATGTTGTGGTCTAGTGCTCATCCTACAGCACCACACCAGGACTCCACTAAGAGGTTGTTGTTGATGTTGTCATTGTTAAGTGCCATCGGGTCGAGTTGGTTCCAACTCATAGTGACCCTGTATAGGGTTTTCAAGGAGTGATAGATGAATTTGAACTGCTGACTTAGTGGTCCAGTGCTTAAGAGGTTTTAAGCATTTATTAAACAGTTTTAAGTATTTATTAAAGTTTTAAATTTAAATAAGAAGAATTCTGAGAATTTCCTAATAGCAGTGATTCTCTTCAATAAGGACAATGACAATAAATGTGTGTGGATGCTTTTTTTTTTTTACAAGTTATAGTTTGAAAATATTTTCCCTTCTAAATTTCAGGTGTAACCTTCCTCCAACAACAGGAAATATTAGCAAAGATGTTGGCAGTAAAACAAATCTTGTGACTGTGAATCCCAGTATCATATCAATAAAGTAAGTATCTCCAAACTACATTATTATTCGAGAGTATTTTTTCATTGTTTAACATGTTTCTTCAGAGTCCTGATGTGGCGCTGTGAGTTAATGCACCAGACTGCAAAGTTGTTTGAACTGCAAGGTCGGTGATTCAAGCTCACCAGGTGCTCCTTGGAAACCCTATACAGGGTTGATACAGGTTGGAACCGTCTTGACAACAACATGTTTCTTGAGGTGGTAAATTGGTTAAAAGGTTGGCAGTAGACAAAAAGGTTGGCAGTTCAAACCCACACAGCCACTTTGAGGGAAAGACCTGGCGATCTGCTCCTGTGAGGATTAGAGCCAAAATCCTGTGAGGCAGTTCTAATTTTACATAGGGTCACCATGAATACGAAGTCAATCAATAGCAATTGTCAACAAGAGTAACATGTTTCTTAGCCTAAGCACTAATCTTACAGCTGAGACTGACTTGCAGTACTGTTTGATAATCTTTCGGAAAAATAAGTAAAAATGTATTTATAATTTTTGACATTCTACCAAATATTGTGGTTCATACAAGTATGAATCGGTGGAACCTTTCTGTCAGACCTAAACATTACTAATAAAAGGAGAATGTATCTCTTTTTTTTTTTAACAGTAGGAGAACTACAATTTTCAGTTTTCTTTCAGAGTTTTAGTATTATTCTTTTGTGTTACTAGCATTTATTTGAAAAATCTTTGTCAATTTAGAAACTTTAGAGAGTAAGTCCTAAATAAAACTGAAAAAATACAGTTTGGCCTTTGGAAAGCTTATTTAAAAACTATATTTTGTCAGGTTTTTCCTTATGGATAGTCTATTCATAAAAAATAATTTCTGCTATGCTTTCTAACGTAACTGCTACTATTACATATATCTTTCTATATGTAGTAGTCACTACTAAAAAAGTTGTTTGGTTAATAAAAATCTCATACATTGTTTTACTCCATTGATTTCATCCAAAATGACTAATAATTGTTATTTATAGGATTTATGCCTCCAAATAACTCAGGTTGAGATAAAATAAATCTCTTGAGACAAAATAATTTATTGTACTGGAATATCCAGGACCTTCATTTGCTGATGGTGCATAACTCAAAATGCAGAGAAACAGCTGTAAATGTCCATTAATAATCATTAGTGAGCTGAAATGTACTGGTATTGGCCATTTTTAATCTGATAGTCACATGGTTTGCTAGGCCGGGAGTGGTAAATCGAGGAGTAGTGTTGCATTCATCATCAAAAAGAACATATTAAGATCTGTCTTGAAATACAATGCTGTTTGTTATGGGATAATATCCATATGCCTACAAGAAAGACTAGTTAATGCCACTATTATTCAAATTTACATACCAACCACTAAAGCCAATAATGATGAAATTGAAGAATTCTACCAACTTCTTAAGTCTGAAATTGATCAAACATGCAATAAAGATGTATTGATAATTACTAGAGATTGGTATGCAAAGGTTGGAAACAAAGAGGAAGGATCAGTAGTTGGAAAATATGGCCTTGATGATAGAAATGATGCTGGAGATAGCATGTTAGAAGTTTGCAAGACCAATGACTTCTTCATTATAAATACCTTTTTTAAATAACATAAAATACAACTATACACATGGACCTCACCAGATGGAATCCACAGAAATCAAATTGACTACATCTGTGGAAAGAGATGGTGGAAAAGCTTCATATCATCAGCCAAAACAACGCCAGGGGAAGACTGTGGAACAGACCATCAATTACTCATATGCAACTTCAGGCTGAAGTTGGAGAACATTAAAATAAGTCCACAAGAGGCTAAATATGACCTTAAACATACCCGACCTGAATTTAGAGATCATAAGGAGCTCTGGTAGCATAGTAGTTATGAATCGGGCTGTGAACTGCAAGGTCAGCAGTTCAAAACTACGAGCTGTTCCGTGGGAGAAAGATGAGGCTTTCTGCTCCCGTAAAGATTTACAGCCTCAGAAACCCTGTACAGGGTCACTATGTGTCGGAACCGACTCCACGGCACATCACCACCACCACCACAAGAAGAACAGATATGATGCAATAGACACTAAAGATCGAAGTCTAGGGAAGTTGTAGGATGATATCAAGAATATCATTTAGAAAGGAAACAAAAGGTCATTAAGAAGACAAGAAAGAAGGAAAAGACCAAAATGGTTGTCAGAAGAGACTTTGAAACTTGCTCTCCAGTGTAGCGATGCTAAAGCAAATGGAAGAAGTGAGGAGGTACAAGTGCTAAATAGAATTTTTCAAAGGGCAGCTTGTAAAGCAAAGTGAAATATTTTAACAAAATGTGTAAAGGCCTGTAGTTAGAAAACCAATGTTCAACATTTTTCAAGCTGAGATAACTGAGTAAAAATTGAAGCCTTGAAGTACAGTATTGAAGGGTTCTATAGGCAAAATGTTGAATGATGAAGAAAGTGTCAAAAGAAAATGGAAGGTATATACAGAGTCACTGTACAAAAAAGAAATAAATGATCCATGTTCAGCCATTTCAACAGGTAGCATATGCTCAAGATCCAATGATCCTGAAGAAAGAAGTGCAAGGTGCATTGGAAGCATTGGCAAAGAACAAGGTACTGGGAATTGATGGAATTCAAATTGAAATCTTTCAACAAATTGAATGGCACTCATCTATGCCAAGAAATTTGGAAGACAACTTCTGACTGGAAGGAATCCATATTTGTGCCCATTCCAAAGAGAAGTGACCCATTGGAATGCAGAAATCATTGGGCAATATCATTAATATATCATGCAAGTAAAATTTTACTAAAGATAATACAAAAATGGCTGCAACCATACATTGAAAGAAAACTTCCATAGGTTCATACTGGATTTAGAAAAGAATATGGAACAAGGGATATCATTGCTGATGTCAATTGGATCTTGGCTGAAAGCAGAGAATTCCAGAAAGATACTTACCTGTGCTTCATTGACACACAAGCTTTCAATTGTGTGGATCATGACAAGCTATGGACAACATTGTAGAGAATTAGTAATCTGGAACATTTAATTGTGTTCAGGAGGAACCTATACATAGACCAAGAGGCAGTTGTTCGAACAGAACAAGGGAACACTGAATGGCTTAAAATTAGGGAAGGTGTGCACTAGGGTTGTATTCTTTTGCCACATTTATTCAATCTGTATGCTGAGCAAATAATCCGAGAAGCTGAAGAAAAATGTGGCATCATGATTGGAGGAAGACTCCTTAACAACTTGGAATATGTAGACGATACAACCTTGCTTGCTGAAAGGGAAGATGATTTAAAATACTGGTAAAGATCAAACACTAGAGCCTTCAATATCATTTGCACCTCAATGTAAAGAAAACAAAATTCCTCACTACTGGACCAATAAGCAACACCCATGTATATGGAGAAAAGATTGAAATTGTCAAAGACTTCATTTTGCTGGGCTCAACCATCAATACTCATGGAAACAGCCATCAAAAGTCAAAGGAAGTATTGCATCAGGCATATCTGCTGCACAAGACTTCTTTAAAATTTTGAACAGCAAAGGTGTCAGTTTGAGGACTAAAGTGAACCTGACCCAAACCATGGTATTTTCAATAACCTCATATGCATGCGAAAGTTGGACAGTAAATATGGAATACCATAGAAGAATTGATGCATTTGAGTTATGATGTTGAGGGAGAATATTAAAAGTACTACAGACTGGTGGTACTTTTGGAAGAATGTGCCTTGAAAGCCTAGATGGCCAGACTTCATCACACCATTCCCTGGAGAAGGATATCATGTTTAGTAAAGTGGAGGGTCAGAGAAAAGAGGAAGAGCCCCAACAGGAATGATTGATACAGTGGCGGCAGCAGCAATGGGTTCAACTATAATAACGATTATGAGCTTGGCTCAGGACCTGGCAGTGTTTCATCCTGTTGTTCACAGAGTCTCTGTTAGTCAGTACTGATTCACTGGCACCTAAGAACAACAAACCCATTGCTATCCAGTGAATTCCAACTCATAGCAAACCTACATAGGATTTCCGAAACTAAATCTTCATCTGAGCAGACTGCCTCATCTTTCTCTTTTGGAGTAGCTGGTGAGTTTAAACTGCTGACTTTATAGTTAGCAGCCCAGTGCTTAACACAAAATGCCACCAGGTTTCCTTATACTTACGAAGATATCATTTAAATCGTACATGTTGAGATATCATAATGCATGGATACAAAATAAGCATCATTTTGCACATATGGAGAGTGCAGTGGCTTTATAGGAAAAGCCCTGGACTGTGAATCACAAGGTTAACAGTTTGAGCTCACCAGCCTCCACGAGAGAAAAATGAGGAACTTTCTGCTCCTGCAAAGATTATTGTTGTTGTTGTTATGTGCCATGGAGTCGGTTCTGACTCATAGTGACTCTGTACAGGGTTTCCAAGGCTTTAAATCTTTACGGGAGCAGAAAGCCCTATCTTTCTCCTACAGCACAGCTTGTAGTTTCTAACTGCTGACCTTGCGGCTTGCAGTCTGATTCGTAACCACAAGCCTTGGAAACTCATTACAGGGTTGCTATAAGTCAGAACCTACTCAACAGCACTTAATAACAACATATACATAGAGAGCTTAGGTTCCCTAAAGGAAACTTTTGTATTATAATAACATTTTATAATACAAAAGGTATACAATCACAAGTGTATAGCTCCATTGATTTTTAAATATGTATTTGTATTTGGGGGAAAGTGGTGGCTCCATAGAATAAGCACTGATTGAACAACAAGGTCAGTGATTCAAGCCCACCAGCCATTCTGTGGATGGAAGATGCTTTCTGCTTCTACAAAGATTTAAAGACTTGGAAATCCTATACACAGTCACTATGAGTCGGAACTAACTCAACAACAAAATGTAGTTTTTAAGAGTGTCATGCTTGAGAAAATAGTTCTTCATTATTATAAGTTTGGAAAGGTGTTTCACCACCCAAAAAGCAAACTTAAGAAAAAAGACTGAGTTGGAAGATAAGATAAGATCAGAAATATCTGTCCAGTTAGGATATGGTGATGGTGGTAGTGTGCCTTGGAGTCGATTCTGACTCATAGTGACCCTGTAAAGAGTTACCACAGGTATAAATCCTTATTTGAGCAGAAAGGCTAATTTTTCTCCCATGTTTGATGGACTCAAACTGCTGACCTTTTGGTTAGGAGTCCATCATGTAACCCACTACAATACCAGGTCTCCCTAGCAAAAGTATAACCTGGTGTAAAAATAGAAACTGAGAGCCTAAGTATACTAAAACAGAGAGATAAAGGTCTACCTCATGATAATGACATACTACTTACATTAATGGAGTCCTGGTGTGGTGCTATGGGCTAACGCTCTGGGCTGCAAGGACCATTTGAACCACACACAGGGTCAGTGGCTCATGTTCACCAGCTGCTCCTCAGAAACCCCATACAGGGTCGCTATGGGGCACTAAACAACAACCATAACTTTCTTTAATAAGTTTTCTCTGAACCTAACGATTGTCTCTGTGTACATTATTAATGTAATTGGTTCCGTTTTTTGACTAGTGGTAAATGCAGCGTCATTTTATCAAAACTGCTACTTTGATGATTATTATTGCTTTATTATTTTTTTATTTGGCAGATATGCAAACTTAAAGGACAAGAAAGCTGTATTTCTGAAAGACATTGCAGCCTATGGCGATGCCTTTCTTCTTCTGCCAGCATTTTCCTTCCGGGCCAACACCGGTGCCTCTTTTAAAGTGTACTACACAGTGAAAAAGTCTAAAGCAAGACAGAAGGTTGTATTTTTCCATCCCAAGTACCTGAGGCAACTCGCCCTTTTCTGGAGAACTAAAGGTGTGGCAGCCTTCCGCTTGTCGTCGGGCTTGATGATCACTAGTGTTGCAGTTGAACTGTGTGAAAATGTGAAGCTATATGGGTTTTGGCCCTTCTCTAAAACTGTGGAAGACACGCCTGTCAGCCATCACTACTATGACAACCAACTACCTAAACAAGGCTTCCATGAGATGCCCAAAGAATACAACCAAATTCTCCAACTTCATGTGAAAGGAATCCTCAAATTACAATTTAGCAAATGTGAAATAGCCTAAACAATGTGTCTTAAAAGTAGGATTCGTGTGAATATAATGCCATGGGTGATGAATAATGTTTCCCAAAATTCAAGGAAGTGGTTGTAGAGTTTAGTAAGAAAAACTTAAGTTTGCAACCCAAGCAAGCCATCTAATTGTTTTGATTTTCTGTTTCCTTTCCTATAAAATGAGGACCATGATAGCTAACTCATACAAGTCAAATATGATCATCTATGAAAACTCTTAGCATAGTGTTCAGTATGAGGTAGGGACTCAGTGAATACTTCCTGACTAATATTTGTAATAACCATTGCTGCCCTCACCAGACTGACATTAAAGGGAAATGGTATTAGAGAATATTTCTGAAGAGAACAGCTGTGTTGTCAGTATTTATTGGTTTCATTCTTTGGCAAGTGTCTCCACTATCTGTAATATCCTTCCCACCTTTCTTTTTTCCATAAAGAGTACATACAAGAAGATTATATACCTGAGGAAAAGAAATCAAAGCCAAAAAGCTTGATTATTCAGCAGTGAAATTCTTCATAGGAATACATGCTTGCATCTGTTTATGTTCACTTGTGAGGTTAGCTGCAGTGATGTGCTGTTTGGAATCAGGCTCTTTGCTACCTTAATATACATGTCATCACTCTTTATAATTTTATTATAACCTCCTGTATCACTATGAAATCTTTTCCTCTCACACTGACAGAATCTTCTTTAAGGACATGTACAGTTGTAATACTGAGTCTTTCTTTTACCTCACGCCCTATCAATGAGTCACTCATTTCATTTATTTTTTTTAAAATGATTGAACTCTACTTCATTCCAGGCCCTAAGCAAGGCTCTGTGAATGGAATATAATGATGACCAATCCTTGACTTGGAGTCCTTGTGTGGCACTGTGGGTTAATGCACTGGACTGCAAAGTTGGTTTGAACCTCCAGGTCGGAGGTTCAAGCTCACCAGCCACTCCTTGGAAACCCTATACACGGTTGCTGAGTTGGAACTGACTCAACGGCACTTAACAACAGCAACAATCCCTGACTCCGTCTAGCAGGAGGAAAAGAACATGTGTATCATTAACTATGATATGAAATTATAGTATTAAAATTTTTTAAATCATATATAACATGCTATGAGGAAGAGAGGCAGTAAAAATTAAATCTGTTTAAATTGGGCATGGAACTTTTCAGAGTAAAGGTGATTTCTGAATTAAAGCAGGAAAAAGAATGTTTTACCAAATGAAGAAGATTTTAGATAATGGGAACATTCCCCTTTGCTTTAGGATATTTGAAAGTAAATCATGGTCTTTGATCCCAACTGCCACATGAAGGTAGAGTACATGTGTGGGTGATGGTTAAGCCCTATCTCTGTGTAATGGGAATAATACCACAGGTATTATAAACTTAATTATTATCAGAAAAGGTATATGCTTACCTGGGGAATATGACTAATAAATTAGATACTGATACCATATAAAGCTTGAGTAGATATTGGATATTAGCATTTTCACAGTTTCCTTACATTATAATAACTATTAATGTAGGTCATTCCTGCATCTATTAAATAAATTATTTTACTAAGATAAGTAATTATGTGTATATTTTTCTGCTCATCAATGTACCAATCCTAGATGAGTGGAAATAGAAATGGAGCAAGCTGAGTCAACATGCTGAAATAGTTACAATTACCATTTTTGAATTCTTACCTCAACCAAATTACTGTGGTTTATTTACTGATGTCTGCTTGTGAGAACACTTTGCTATAAATTGTTCATTTTGATAAAACCTGATCTTACTTTGATTGTAGATGACATTTGTGATGTTATTTTTAGTTCACATTTTAATTTGTTCTTTTATAGCAAATTAAATCTATTAGCTCCATAAATTGATCAAAAGTCTATATATATTTTCCAAATGGAAAACTGTCTTTTGCTGCATAAAATCTATTTTATTTATTATCCTCTCTTTTTTTGTGTGATAGTGAATAACTAATTGTTTTCTATTGCTCACAATGGATTTAAGTCATTTTAAATAATATGTCAGCAGTGTGGGTAATGTCTCAGTCATATTACTAGCATCAGATTATTAACCTAGATCAGAATTCTCTAGTGATTTTTAGTTAGTAAAATATTTTTTCCAAATGTTTAATGGCAAGTAGAAACAAACTTTTCTTTTTTATGATTTTGAAAAATATAATTGATGAATAAAAGCAATAGCATATACTGAAATAAATCATTTAATACTCAATCTGGAGACTTTAGATGTTGTCTTAATAAAATGTATGTATGATTAGAATATTTAGAGCTTACTTAAGTTTTTCCCATATAACGTCTATAGCAGTTGGAATTTAGGGACTTTTCTCTTGAATATCAATATAGAGTTGTCAGTGTCACTAATACTAATTCCAGAAATATTCAAAATGGTAGGCTATCAAGATGCACTTTCCTAATGATACCCAGTTCCAGGAAAAGTTTAATAGAAAAAAATTTTAATAGTGGAAAAGATTATAGACCTTCAGATGAACACATCTAAAGCCTGTTTCTTGCTTAACATTTGTGCTGTCATCTAAAGATCATTTTTGAAATCTGACAACAGCCCTTACTCCAGTCACACTAGCCAGAAGACTGATCAAAAAGAAGATGTTCGTTTTTTCTCATATCTTTCTCAGGTTGATCTATAGCTGCTGTGATTTTACAGCCACTTGGGGTTATCTGTCATTGTTTGGAACTCTCCTACACTCTCTCTGATAGGGTCAGTTGTGTGGTGCCATAGGATAAACACCCAATCTCTATGTTAATTTGAACCACGAGGTTGGTGGGTCAAACTAACCAGACGCTCCCTATACAGGGTCGCTATGAGTCACAAACAACTCAACAGCACTTTACAACAACAATAATTGTGGAGAAATGAAGGTATGTGCCTCATTTACATCATAATCACACCCTAACATTTTCCTTCATGGTAATACATGACCTTCTTGGTATTCATTATTGTAGTGTGTCAATTTTTAAAGCAAAAAATTTTTTTCTAAAACAAAGATTTTTAGAAGATGTAAAACTAGAACATGGGTTTTGACAATACAGCATATCAGCTATCCATATTGAAAAACATAAATCACAGTTCTTTTTGTTCTGTGATGGTACATTAATCACAAATTTTTCTCCAAGATTAAAACAAAAAAGCTGGGTGCCATGCTGAGATTTGTGGATTAACCACCAGTAAGTCTGACAGTGACACTCCCAAGAAACCTTTGGGTGTAATGAGCTTTCTTTAAATGCTGCCTTTGTTGTTAAGTGCAGTTGAGTCGCTTCTGACTCATAGTGACCCTATATAGGATTTCCAAAGAGCATCAGGTGGGCTTGAACCACCGACCTTGCAGTCAGTAGTCCAGTGTTTATCCAACAGCACCACACAAGGACTCCAGTACCTGATGTTAGATGGATTGAATTTGCTCCTTTGCTCTTAGAGTTCAAGTACATTCATCAACATTGAAACATTCGAGGACTAATGCTAGACTGCAGTAGACCTTTTAGAAATGGAGAGCTCATAATGCTCTCCATTTCTAAAAGGGATTACCTTATTCAGCATCACTGGACAGTATATGGGAAATGTTGTTGTTAAGTGCCATTGAGATGGTTCCGACTCATAGAGACCCTGTATAGGGCTTCCAAGGAGTAACTGATGAACTTGAACCGCCGACCCTCGAAGTTCAAACTGAACTTTCTGTCTAGCACATTAACCCACACGACCACACCAGGACTCTGTATATGGAAATGTTGTTGTTGTTGTTGTTATGTGCCGTGGAGTCGGTTCCGACTCATAGAGACACTGTACAGGGTTTCTGAGGCTGTAAATCTTTACAGGAGCAGAAAGCCTCATCTTTCTCCCGTGGAACAGCTGGTAGTTTCGAACTGCTGACCTTGC